CGATCATCTTCCGATCAACGAATTATACACAATTATGTTCAAGTAGTGTACTATACCCCAATTTGAATTTTTAATAGTTAATGAGGCAAATTCATCGTTTTAATGGCATTTGTTTGGTGAAATTTTTTAACGTACAAAATGCAATACTAATAAAAATGCTCAATAAATTAATGTAAAGCTATTTTTTTTCTCACAAAAAAATCATATGTTTTCTCAACATTCGTCCAATATATCGTTTATTATAATTTGTGAAAATATTTGATGTAATTATTTTTATAAATGAAAATGGTTGAAAACGATTTTTTCTTTTAACTCGGCACTGCATAAGTAATATAAACATATTGAAAGATAAAATTACCATGAATGACTATATCAATTTATATTTACTATTCCAGTAAAAGACCTACCTCTCGGATAATTTGGTGAGAAAATATTTGGAAATCATTTTTGATATATAAAAATTAATTTTCAAGTCATTTAGTGCCGAGTTATTTTATTTCATTGAATACTACCAGTATTTCAAGTCATTTAGTGCCGAGAAAAATCAATATGGGGTGCATTGTGAATGATTTACATGTATTTTGAGGGTGCAAGCTGCTATTAAATTTTTTGTGGATGCAAAAAGTACCAAAATGCTAAATGTAATTAAACCCTTATCTGTTATAGATAGTTTCGTCTGTAATCCAAACAGATCAAGCAAAAAATCATTTTTGTTATCGCATAAAAGTAATTAAAAGTAAAAAGTATAGTTGGAGACGAGGATGAAGATGACCTTAATTATAATAGCAAAGTTTCGTTTTTATTATCTTAGCCGCATTAGTTTCGACGATATATTAACATCAGTCGCGATAATGTTGAGGGGGTATCGGCATTAATTTCAATATTCCAGAAAATAAAAATAGGAATTTCCCTTAGTTTCAATCCAACCAACAATGCAATTGCTGATACATGATAATCGGATTAGCAGCGCGACTTCGGTTCGCGCTCTCGGAATAGGCTCTCTAAACATGGCAATTGACCAATCTATACTATCAATGAATCTTCTAGATATATAATTCATAAGAACAAAATTTCTTTGTGATAAAGAGAAGTATTGGTATGTAAATTGTCGCAATTATTACAAGTCTGCCGCCCTTGTGCATCTAAGTGGACCGGAAACGGTATTTGGAGGTAATAAATTTTCGTCCGCTAGAAGAGAAGTTGCGGAAATTGTAAATGTGTCTATTTCTTGCCGAAGACTCGTATCACCGGCACCTTGACTTAAAAGTGCAGTTGATATGTCGGATATTATGTTTAACATTGCTTATGTTGTTGTTAAGGACGACGAGGGCAAGAAAATATGAGCTAACATGAAGAACTAGATATATATTTTTATTGCATAAATGAAATGAAAATAAAATTCAGTATAAATTGGGTAAATTCCACTTTTTCCCTTTATACTTTGACTCGATATCACTTTACCTCATTCTTCTCTCAATTGCATTGATTTGCCCCCTTGTACATTGACTCGATATCACTTTACCCCTTCAACTCTCAATTGCATTAATTTGCCCCCTTGCACTTGAAAAATTGTCCCAATGTGGCTTTCGCCGTTAGTTTTTAGACATTTGACCTTAACACCATTTGATCTTAGTCTGAAAATTACTCAAAAATCACTCCTCCCAGTTTAAATAATTATTAAAAAAATTAAAACAAATAAAAAAAACAAAAATTAAAATAATAAAAAAATCAAGAATACGAGAAAACATAGTCCACGACGCCAACCACAATTTATTTTTTATTTTTTCCAGTAACTATTTAAACTAGAAGGGGTGGTTTTTTTGTAATTTTCAAACTTAGATCAAACGGTGTTAAAGCCAAATGTGTGAAAACTAACGGCGATGGCCACACTGAGACAATTTTCAAGTACATGGGGCAAATCGATGCAATTGAGAGTAGAAGGGGGTAAAGTGATATCGAGAAAAAGTACAAGGGGGCAAATCGATGCAATTGAGAGTATGAGGGGGTAAAGTGAAATGGAGACAAAGTACAAGAGGGAAAGTGAAATTTATCCTAAATTAATTGCTTATCTTAGAGGGGCATTTTAGTCCAAATAAATCCTCAAATTGGATTAATGGAGAAAATATAAAGTTCACCGAAAACAGAAAAAAATAATGATGATGTCAACAATTATCACCCAAATATTTAACGATGAGGTCACATGACAGTCCATTGTAGCACGGGCATGGAAACGGCGATACGAGAAAATGGGAAAATGACAGGTCCCAAAAATGGAAAACGAGAGCTTGAGAGAAATGTGTAAATATTAAAAGTATAGAGCATATTTATAAATATGTTATGTAAAGTATCTATAAGTTTTTATTGATATATAAATTCTTTTTTTATTTTATATTTTCATACAAACATATTGAAAATAAGTTTTATATAGACTATTAATTGCACAATATGCAATTGATCATTAAATCATGTAAATAACTAGAAAAGCAATAAAAATATTTGAAAATTAGCATTCAAACATGTTTCTAACTTTTTAGAAATTGCAAAATAGCATATAACGTGTTCGGCATATGTCCTCGAGCGTCAGCGATTGGAAGGTATGTGTTGTTTTTTCATCAATTGGGTAACATGTCATTTTTTTTTGTAATCAAGGAACTTGCAACTTATAACCTAATGATGCTAAATACTTAGATCATCTACGGTTGTGTGGTAAACGAGTTGGGAGAGCAAAGTGGATCATTAGCTTGTCAATTGGATAGTCCTGAGATTCCTGCGAAAGTAACACACATGAACTAAGCCGGATGTTGATCCGGCAGAAACCCCTCTGACGCTCAAGTTAGATGTACATATCGTGGAGATAATAGAGAGAATGTGAACTCTAGAATAATTGTGAATAATGAAACGTACCTTAACAAATAAGTAAAAACCTCTATTTATATGTTGTTGATCGGGTTGGGTTTGTTTTGTTGGGCCCAAGCCTTATCTGTAGGTGTTTGGGCTTTCGTGTAGTGGTCATTTAAACCATGTCTGTGGCATAATTAATCAATTAATAGATGAATTGTGGGCCAATTGGGTTGGCTCAATTATGTATATCATTAAGCTCCTCAACTCTCGAGTCGAGGTGGGAGCCAAGTCGATAGGGTGTCGGGTCGTGTCGAGAGTTAAATGAGTTGTAGATTTCTCGTTTTTGTTGTCGCCAAATTATTTCGTAAAAGGGACAAATATATTTATTTGGCAGGAAGATATATATTTAAAGATTTTAAATATTATATCAGTGTCAAATAAATAAGGTCCTTTTGCAGTGGAGATAATTAAATTCTAACTCTTGTGCGAGTAAGTATGTGTAAGCTTTTTTTATTTTTGGGTATTTTTCTGTGTTTTTCTTTTTATATTTGGTGGTATAATAGAATTTATTCCTTGGAGTATTTTGTCGGAAAAATATATTTATCATGGTCAACTCGGGTAAATCGAAATCTTTGCGGATCAAATTTCGAGATCCGGTTAAAAGGGGCGAGATGCCGTTCGGTTTCGTGGGAATGGAGCGCGAGAGGGTTGCTGTGTCAGCTGTGGAAACCGAGTCGGCAGATGTTTGCTCGCAAAACGAGGAGATGATTGGGATGGAGGGTGAAAAATTGGGCTCAGCAGCTGATGGCTTAGAGTGAGCCATTACCATTGGTGGCTTGTGTCTGGGTGCGGCTTCCAATGCGAGCCAAGGAGAGAGGGAGCCGTCGGCTCGTGTGCTGTTCGAGGTGCGAAGTCAGCTGTGGCACGCGAGTGGGGTGAGGGTGGCAGGGGACGAGCGCGCGTCTGGCACATTGGCCGAGGGACGTGCGCGCGTGTCGCGAGCTGTGATTGGTGGACGCGCGTGCGTCAGTGTTTGGGGCGGGGGGAGAGACGCGGGGGTCGGGCGCGGTCAATGAGGGACGCGCGCGCGTCTGCTGTTGGTAAGGAAGGTCGTGCGCGCGCGTTCGGTGCACCACCGAATCAGCACGTGTGTGACGAGGATGTGCGCACGCGTCAGCATTGTTGGATGGCGCCTGAACACTACTCCGCCGCCCGTTTGAGCGCGTGTGACGAGCGTGATGCGCGGTTCTCGAGGTTGATGGTATTTCTTGGAGGGTTGATCATGGGTGGCGAGAAACAGTAGGTGCTTGGAGTGATGATATGGGGCCAAATGTTTCTATTTGTCCACCTACTGATGAAGTCGGTTCTAGTAGACGGTGTTATGTACGTCAAGTTATGGATTTTGGGAGTGATAGTGATGGGTCAATCAATCGAGTTCATCGAGAACGTGTTGGACCAAGTAGCGAAATGGAAGCGATAGTTGAAATGGAAGAAGAAGATGAAATTTCGATTGGTGATGTTGAGATGGATACGATGAGGCAAAAGAAGACGAAGCCGACCAATCTTGATTTAGTTGATGTTGATAGTACGTTGACCAAAGAGCATTTGCGGACTATTCGTCGGTTTGTTGGGCTGCCGCGGAATATCGAGACGCTTTTGCTTCAGAAGGGCGAGCGTTTGTATTCGCCACCTGCTGGATTTCATACAGTTTATTTGGCTTATTTGATGTGTACTCATCAGATTACTCCGCATTCGACTTTGTTGAAAATATGCGACGAATTCAAGATAGGGTATAGTCAGCTGTCTCTAACTATGGTTCTTATGTTTGAAGCGTTTTACCATAGGATATCGCAAATAGGGTTGCTAGTAGTGTCAAGGTGTTCACGTTACATCGGCCGAATAACTTGCCATTTTTTTGTGCTCATCCGCGAGGTGTACAAGGACGAGGATTAAGGTGACCTTAATACCAAAGTCTCTTTTGGTTATCTTAGCATTAGTTTTGATAATTAACATTAAATACTCGGGGTATAATTGGCATTAATTTCAATATTCCAAAAAATAAATTTGGGATATTGACAAATAAGAAGATATGCAAAGAGGTAAAGATATATAACAATATATAGAGATTATATTTGTCTAAATTCACCAAACTACCCAAAATGGAATTTCACTTTGCTCCATCGAATGTTTCGAAATTCATTTTCCTAGTCACTTTACTCATCGTCACAACAAACGCACAAAACAATAATCTATTCTCCGACATATGTCCGAAATCGAAAAACCCTAGTGCGTGTCTCTCTCTTCTGAAACACGATAATAGGACCAACAAAGCCACTTCGGTTCAAGCTCTCGGAATCGGCTCTCTGAGTATAGCAATAGACCAATCCATATTATCGGTGAATCTTCTAGATAATTCACTTAGAAAAAAATTTCTTCCCGATAAAGAGACTTATTTGTATGTAAATTGTCGCAATTATTACAAGTTTGCCCTGGTGAGGCTAAGTGAAGCGAAAAAGGAATTTGGAGATAATAAATTTTCGTCTGCAAGAAGAAAAGTTGCGGTAGTAGTAAATGCGGCCGCTTCTTGCCGAAGAATCGGGTCACCGCCACCTGGAATTAAAAGTGCGATTGATATGTCGGATATTATGTTTAACATTGCTTATGTTATCATGCAGGAGGCCGATGGCAAGAAAATCTGAACCGAGGCGGCTGTGTTTACATGAAGAACTAGATATATTAATTCTATTGCATAAATAAATGAAAATAAAATGCAATATAAACTAAGCGATCATCTTCCGATCAACGAATTATACACAATTATGTACAAGTAGTGACCTATACCCCAATTTGAATTTTTAATAGTTAATGAGGCAAATTCATCGTTTAATGGCATTTGTTTGGTGAAATTTAATTTTTTTTAGCGTACAAAATGCAATAATAATAAAAATGGTCAATAAATTAATTTAAAGCTATTTTTTTTCACAAGAAAACAAAAAAAGAACCTCATATTTTTTCTCTACATTCGATCGATATATCATTCATTATAATTTGTGAAAATATTTGCTGTAATTATTTTTATAAACGAAAAATGGTTGAAGACGATTTTTTCTTTTAACTCGGCACTGCACGAGTAACATAAACATATTGAAAAATAAAATTACCATGAACGACTATATCAGTTTATATTTACTGATTCCAGTAAAATACCTACCTATTTGGTGAGAAAATATTTGGAAAGATTTTGTTTTTGTTATATAAAAACTAATTTTCAAGTCATTTACTGCGATTTATTTTTTTCATTGGAAAATACCAGTTGTGAATGATTTATTGTGTTTTGAGGGTGCAAAAAGTACCAAAATACTACATTTCAAGGGTGCAAAAGGTGATTAAACCCATTTTTTTTTTTATAGATAGTTTCATCTGTAATCCAAACAGATCGAGCAAAAATACATGTTTGTCATCACATAAAAGTAATTAAAAGTATAAAGTATAGTTCAAGGACGAGGATGAAGATGACATTAATAGCAACGTTTCGTTTTATTATCTTCGCATAGTTTCGACGATATATTAACATTAATCATGAAAATGTTGACGGGGTATCAACATTAATTTCAATATTCCAACAAATAAAAATAGGAATTTCCCTTAGTATCAATCAAACCAACAAAACAATTACTCAACCAATTCACCAAACCAATAACCAAGAATGGAATTTCCCCTCATTTCTCCATCCAATAGGAATGCCTAACGTATGTCTCTCTCTTCTGATTCATGATAATCGGACTAGCAGCGCGACTTACGTTCGCGCTCTCGGAATAGGCTCTCTAAACATGGCAATTGACCAATCTACATTATCAGTGAATCTTCTAGATAATTCACTTAGAACAAAAAAATTTCATGATAAAGAGAAGTATTCGTATGTAAATTGTCGCAATTATTACAATTCTGCCCTGGTTCATCTAAGTTAAGCGAAAACGGTATTTGGAGGTAATAAGTTTTCGTCCGCAAGAAGAAAAGTTGCGGAAATTGTAAATGTGTCTATTTCTTGCCGAAGACTCGTATCACCGCCACCTAGACTTAAAAGTGCAGTTGATATGTCGGATATTATGTTTAACATTGCTTATGTTGTCATTAAGGAGGCCGAGGGCCAGAAAATATGAGCTAACATGAAGAACTAGATATATATTTTTATTGCATAAATGAAATGAAAACAAAATCCAGTATAAATTAATTGCTTATCTTATAGGGGCATTTTAGTCTAAATAAATCCTCAAATTGGATCAACGGAGAAATATAAAGTTCACTGAAAAAGAAAAATGAATGATGATGTCAGCAATTATCGCACGGACACAGAAATAGGAAAACGGCATGTCCCAGAAATGGGAATACGGGAGTTTGGGGCAAACGTATAAATATTAAAAGTATAGGGGTATATTTACAATTATGGGATATAAAAATATATAAGTTTTTATTTATATGTAAATTCTTTTCTATATGTTTTCATACAAATATATACAAAATAAATTTTACTATCGACTATCGGTATGCAATTAATAATCAAATCATGTAAATAATTAGAGAAACAACAAAAATATTTGAAAATTTTCATTCAAACAGGTTTCGAACTTTTTAGAAATTGTAAAATTGGCTACAAGGTGTCCGACAGGTGTCCTCCAGTGTCGGACACAAAAAATGTTTGAAATGCGAAAATGTTAAGAAGTTGAAGTTTCCATACTTGCATCAAAAAGCGAAATCCCTCGCCCCGTGGGTTTCCATACCTTGGCCCGTCAAGTATTTGATGGAGGGATGTAAATTCATCTTGATTCAATGGCCCGTTAGGGTAGCGGGCCCGAACCTGATGTCCACAAGGTACCAACACTCATTGGAGTTGAAATTTCTACACTGCAGCTGAAAGGTAATTTTTTCATCAATTGGGTAACATGTATTTTATTTGGTAATAGGAATCCATACGAGTGATGTAAATCACTCTAGACTAACCATGTGTGACAAGCTTGACCTCACTACCTTTTGACAAGAAATATACTCAAACTTAGTCAACCGACACAAGCTCACTTGCTCTAACCGCTAGGCTATCCTTACAAGGACAGTAACATGTCATTTGACCATCTAAGATGGGGTTTACATAAAATTAACCCTATATTAAATCGATCGAAAATAACCTCATAAGTGAAATTTGTCAAACTCCCCTTAAGAAAAAAAAAAAGAAATTGTCAAACTATATATGTAGCAATCGGTCAATAATAAAGGTAATCAACACAATCAAGACGATGATTAATGGGTCTTACTATTAGCATTTTTTTTTTTGACGAATTTCGAAATTTAGCAGTCATAAACAAATAATTAAATGAAAGTTGACAAATAACAAAAGATGCAAAGATAAAATTAACCTAAAATAATTGAGATTAGTCTCAAATTACTAATCAAATCAACATAATTCACAAATAATAATAATAATAATAATAATAATCAAAATCTATTATAAAAAAGAGGGTCTCAATTCTCCACCATTGCACCAAATTAAAACAAACCAAAATGGAGTTGCCCTTTGCTTCATCCAATATTCGAAAACAACTACTAACTATTTTCCTACTCTCTTTACTCGGCACCAAAATAAATGCACAAAACGACGAGTTGTTTTCCAAAATATGCTGGAAAACGAAGAACCCTAAAACATGTCTCTCTCTTCTCCAACTCGATATAAGGACAAGCGAAGCTAACTCGATTCAGGTACTCGGACGAGGCGCGTTGACCATGGCAATTGACCAAGCCAAACTAGCACTTGACCTTATAAACAATTCGCTTAAAACGCAATCTCTTTCCGGCGAAGAGAAATCTTATTACATGGCTTGTCGCTCGTTTTATTATTCTGCAAAGGACTACATAAGTGACGGAAAAACGCAATTCGAAAGTAACGATCTTTATTCATCAAGACTAAGCGTAGCTGCGGTAGCAACTGTATCTGCTGCTTGCAGAACACTCGCTTCGCCTGCACGTGCACTTCAGAGAGCAATTGATATGTCGGATATTATATTTAACATTGCTTTTGTCGTCGTGAATGAGGTTTATCTTCAGCCACATTAAATTTAAAATAATTTCATGATAAATGAGAAATTATAAGATCCACTGGTAGTTAATTGCCCAGCTTGTAAGGGAATTACATGAATAATGCTTTAATGATTATGTGTTTATATGAGCCTGGTTCGCGAATTTTATTTTAAATAACTGATCAACTCTTACATCTGATAAGATCTTATGTGATTTAGAATTATTTTTTGAATTGTTTGGTTAATAAGTTTCTATGTCAATTTTACTGTTTGTAAGATCTTAAATAGAAAAGGTGTGGTACAAGTACTAAAAAAAAAAAGTCTTTTTAGTTCTTTGATATGCTTAATTGACCCAACCCAATGGGCCTACAAATTATTTACCTACTGGGCCACTAGCCCAATATCGAAGACCATTATCACCGAGGCCCAATCACCTTCAAGCAAGGTTTGGCCCCGACAATCTCAACTAAGCTATAAATACACATTTGAACTCATTCCATAAGGTACGTCCTATTAACTGAGCAATACTACAATACGTATTCTCTGGACTATTTCTACTATCAGCACGTCTGACTTGAGCGTCGGAGGGGTTTCCGCCGGATCAACCCTTTGGCTTAGTTCATGTGTTCTATGATGCAGGTACCTCAGGATCATCAAGTTGTCAAGCTACTGATCCGCTTTGCTCTCCCAGTTTGTTTTCTACACTACCCAGGTGATCTAAGTAATTAGCATCATCATTTTGGCGCCGTCTGTGGGAACGATGCAAACCAGATCACGTAGCCAACAAGATCCTCCTGAGGCGTCAGCTCGGAGAAAAAATAACACAGCTAATCAAGATCCTCCTGAGGCATCAGCTCGGAGAGAAAATGACACAGCTAATCAAGATCCTCCTGAGGCGTCAGCTCGGAGAAAAAATAACACAGCTAATCAAGATCCTCCTGAGGCGTCAGCTCGGAGAGAAAATGACACAGCTAATCAAAATCCTCCTGAGGCGTCAGCTCGGAGAGAAAATGACACAGCTAATAACCTCCCAGTCCGTGGAGGATCTGGCATGCCACCTCGTCCACGTGCCGCGGAGCCACCTCGTCCACGTGCCGCGGAGCCACTTCCTCCACGTGTCGCGGAGCCAGCTCCTCCACGTGCTGCAGATCCACCTCGCGAGGTTCAGGTGATCCCCCCTCGGGACCCACCACTCGCCGATCCACCACTCCCTGCTCCTCGAATGGTTCAAATAACCGATGATGCGCTTCAACGCATGATAGCAGAAGCTTCAACTCGCGCTGCCACAGAGGCCGTGTCCCAATATATTGCCACGATGGGAGCAAATGCTCCCAACGCGATACCAGCACCTGCTCCACATGTGGAGCCACCTATAGCACCACCGCCAAAATATTTCGCTCGCCATGGGTTATCGACTCCCTGGGGGCTTACATCTGCCCCCAAAATATTTCGCTCGCCAAGGGTTATCGACTCCCTGGGGGCTTACATCTGCGCCCAAAATATTTCGTTCGCCATGGGTTATCGACTCCCTGGGAGCTTACATCTGCCCCCAAAATATTTCGTTCGCCAAGGGTTATCGACTCCCTAGGGGTTTATAGTTCCCCCAAAATATTTTGCTCGCCATGGGTTATCGA